AAAAAAAAAAAAGGGGACCAAAAAATGGGATTTGGGACTGAGGGACTCCACGACTTGCAAACGTCGTTCCATCATTCCTGCCTGAGGGACGATGGAGGAGGAATTCAGGCTTTTCCTGCTGGATTCCCAGTGGCTGAGACTTGAATCCCCACGGGACTCAGTGTTTGGAGGTTGGTTGGTGACAGGGAACAGCAAGAAGCACCTTTGTTTACAAACCATCCCCCCCCTCACAAACTGGGAATGATCAACCTAATCCAGCCTCCTAATCCTCTTTTTCTGCCCTCAATCCCCATCAAGGTGCTGACAGGAAGCCAAAGGATTTGATGGATCTATCCCTGCAGCAACAGGAGAGCGGTGCCCACGGAGGACTTTGCCTTCCAGCAGCCCAAATCCCAAGAAATGCCAAATCCAGCTCCCTCTGGAGCCAGGAGGAACCTCGAGGAATTGGAATACAGCAGTGGAGCTGCCCCAGGTGATCCCAGGATCTCCTGTCCCACCTTCCTCGGGATTCCTAATTTGGCTTGGCTAAGATCCAGCTGGTTTTGAGAGCCAGCCCCCCCCCCAACATTCCACTGATTTTTTTCCCTGTGCCAGCATTTTCCGCGGAAAGGATACATATTCCAGAATACTGTTTGTGTATGGATTCATGGTCCTGGACAGCGTGGCAATAGGGTAGGAATAAGCTGCAGGAGAGGGGAATAAAAAGAGGGATAAATCATCCAGTGGCTGCACACCTACAGCTGGGATACAACAGGGATTCATTGGAGTTCTACAGCCTTGGGAACCCAGGGAATAAGGGATTAAATGAGCTCAGTCGCGGGTGGATGGGATGTCCCAAAGATGTCCCACCAGGCAGAGCTGGATGTCCCAGCCCAGCTGGCTGTGGAATTGTGTCCCCTCACCTCCCACGATGTGACACTGGTCGTAGGCGTCGCGATCCCGCACGTCCAGGAGCAGGAAGGGACAGTCTGGGTAGGGCAGGTCCTTGGCCTGGGTGTCCTCCTTCTTCGGAGAGTCCTTCTCGATGTCCATCTCCCCAACGCCGCTGATCACGCTGGGAAAGGGAAGGGCAGGGTGAGGTGGGAGCTGGGAAAGCTCATTCCCAACACTTTGGGGCCTCTCTCCAGCAGCTCCGAGTGCTTGGGAAGAGCTGGGATAAAGTAGCATTCCGGGATCCCTGAGCTTGGCAGGGACATGGGGATTCAGGAATTGGACTCATTCTCAAGGATTCCAGGATGGTTTGGGTTGGAAGGGACCTTAAAAGATCGTCCATGGGCAGGGACACCTTTCACTATCCCAGGTTGCTCCAACCTGGCCTTGGACACTTCCAGGGATCCAGAGGCAGCCACAGCTTCTCTGGGAGATTCATTCCAGCCCCTCCCCACCCTCCCAGCCAGGAATTCCTTCCCAATATCCCATCTAGCCCTCTGGCAGTAGGAAACCATTCCCCCTTGTCCTGCCATTCCACATCCTCGTGAGAAGATCCTCAAAAATGAAGATCCCTGGGAAAGCACAGGGGCTGAGCTCTGTGTACTAATCCCACACACATCCTGGAATGTGGGGGCCTGGATGGAATCCCACCAACACATTCCCCCATCAGCCATTTAAACCATCACCAGGCGGCAACAGGGCCGGATTCCACCCTCAATCCAAGCAGGAAAACCCGGCAGACCCTCCTCTCTCACACCTCCAAATCCGGGTTTTAACGAGAAAAAAAATCGGGATAAAGCCACTTGGCAGGAATTTCGAGAGCTGGATGAATTAACCTAAGACAAGGGAAGTGTGGGTTGAGGAGGCACCTCTGGAGGGTGGAACGCTGGGATTCCCCAGGCCCCGTGCTGTTCAGGAACAGGACTGGATTGGGGGCCTCCTCGGGGCTTCCCTTCCCGTTCGTCCCCGCGGCCACCTCGGCATCTTCACCTGGAGCAGCAGCATCTGGGGACAGAGCAGGGCACGGGCACTTAAAGAGCTGCAGGGACTCAACAAGCAGGTTTTAAGCCCAGTTTCTAATCCTGGACTAAAGATGTGACAGCCTTGGGATCATCCTCTTACGGGGATCATTCCCCCAGGGCCCCACGGTCTAAATAAAGGGCCAGAGAAAGGGCCTCGGAGTTATTCCCAATGATAAAGAGCCCCCAAAGATATAAAAAAGAGCCCCCAAAAATATAAAAAAGAGCC